CATTAGCACCTCTAGTAATATATTTACTGAGAAAAATGGTGATGTGTTCAATACTTATTTTACCTGCTGTATAACCAAAAACAGGAAACAAGGTGAGGAGCATGCACATAAAACTTACGCTCTGAGTGAAGAATGTGAAACACAAGAAGAGGGGACCCTCTTGTTGAAGGTTAGGTTAGAGGTGGGGCTATGACATCATCAGYTTTTGCCATCTTTTTTCGTCCTCACTGCTCACATGGTGTATCTTTTACTTGACGTCTTTCACTGTTTAACATTCTCTTGTTTTCTGTTTSTGTTCAGAATCACAACAACAGCAGCCTGCATGATGGATCTGAGGCGATACCCTCTGGATGAACAGAATTGCACCCTGGAAATCGAAAGCTGTGAGTTTCAGYCTTTTGCCTGGTAACGAAACAGGACGGCCTTAACTTGCTCCTCTCTTAAAATGACGAGCAATGCCGCATTCTCATAAAGAAGTTTTTACGTTCCTCATCTCGCAGGGAGAAAACTGCAAAGGCTGCATGAATTGCTCTGGATTTATTAACTTGTCATATCTCAGCAAGATTTGCTTGCTGCATCGTCTCCAGTTAAAATGATTTTGTCCATGCAGAGGGGTTTAAAGCAGACAGCCATTTCTTTTAGAGGAGCGCAGTAATGATTAGTCCAGTGTCATTTGTCATGATGGCATGTTTGGCCATCTGAGCCGCCATAAAAATATTGACAGTTTTGAGCCATGTGCATGTGGTCTGTCWACCTGCAGGAGCACAAATATCCATAAAGGTTCAGATCTCATGTGAGCAGCAGATTGAATCAGCTGTGAATGATTTTATCTGTCCAACAACATGAGATGGCTGCATTTCTCAGGAGTCACACTGGTTTTCTTACAGATGGTTACACAACAGATGATATAGAGTTTTACTGGATGGGAGGAGAAAATGCTGTGACCGGAGTGACACGAATCGAACTCCCTCAGTTCTCCATAGTGGACTACAAACTGGTCTCCAGGAACGTGGTGTTTTCCACAGGTAAATAAATAGAAAGTCACAATGATGGAGTTCCTGTGGTGTAGGATGGATCATCAGTTCACAATGAATTAAAAAAAGATCATTTCTGGAGTWACAGGCTTTCTTTGAAATAGATCTTTAACTGAAAATAATAACAACAAACAGTAGTTTGAAATACAACATATTTCAGTATTCATTATTTAAAAAGTTCAGTTAGATATGTTGTTGGGGGGGACTCAGACAAGCAACTGTTTCCTTCAGTTATGAAAATGCTGTACATATCATAAATAAAATAAAATGAAATTATAAAATTTAAAAACAAATCTAAACACCTTGAAATTGGCCTCTGCCTCTTGAAGAACCTCCTACCATTTCCAACACTACAAATTGTCAACAAACAATTCTTTGGGGGGTGGGGTACTCTGTGGGACGGGAGCTTGGCTGCAGACTGAACTTCAGGGAGGAGCTTTGTACAAATAGGCGGAACTTTGTACCAGCAAGTGTTTAAGCAGCGCCACATGRCTAAAGGAGATTAATGAATGACTCAAAGCAACACTRTGTATATGTGTTTGATGAGGGAATGACATTATAACATTATATAAAGCTCAAAAAAGTCTACTGTGCATTATACCCCCCTTTAAGTTTAAGTGTAATATATTAATATTTTGCTCATTTTGATTTTCATAAAGTTTTTACAGTTGCTAGGCTATAAGACATACACCAGGGTAAGGATGTAAATAAATCTGAAGGCTAGATCATCAAAATTTACAGCCACTCACTTCCAGTCTTCRCAGTTGACAAAAGACCCAGTCTACATTACCRGGTCCTTTGAAGAATGCAGCCGCCTGAATTTGGACACCACTGTAGTCTCTTAAGCATGTCCTGGGTCTTCCTTTGGGTTTCCTACCAGTTGGGCCCAAAAAACCTCTTGAGAGGCATCCAGARGACATCCTGATTTTACTACCTGACAGAACTGATGAGCTAAACTTCTAATTTGAAAGCAGCCAAGACCAAAGTGGAGTTTTTTTCTAATTTCATGATGGTAATACAAATGTTAACATTTAAACCATTACATGGTTGATTCAAACTACATATCAGAAATTTAATCTTTGTTATATTTCTGCAAGAACTGCTACAGCTAGCTGCTGCTCTGCTTGTGTTTGCACATGCCACAAGTCTTTGAATAACCACATAATGAGAAGTTAATAGTGTTGTAAAAACATCTATGAAATAACATTTGCATGAATCGTAAATGCACCAATACACTTTACCTTCAGCCATTAGCTCGTCAGTCAGCCATAAACTCTTTTCCAAACGGAAGTTGATCAAAGATCAGTCTACAAACAGATAATACATGTTTAAAACATTTCAACAAACCCCACCTTAATGTAGTCAAACCTTTTCTTTAGGTAGTGTATCACATTTTAAAAATACCAATTTTTTCAGTGCACAAATGAAATATTATTATTTTATAATTAAACTTCAAATAAGAATTGTAGAAACTAGCTTGATAAAAGCTGTTACCTGTACCTACAGTATTCAACATAATGTAACAGTATTATTTTTCTTAAAATGCATAGACGATACTGTTAATTTAATACTATGATGAATTAATCCTTTGATTTTGGTTTTTTTATGTCAAACAATTTTTCTCATGTCATATAGTAGTTTTGACAACCCAGTTCTGAAGCAAAGTAAAGTGTTTGCCAGGATCAGCTGAACCTTCTCCTCCTGCAGGTGCCTACCCTCGACTGTCTCTGAGCTTCAAGCTGAAGCGAAACATCGGCTACTTCATCCTGCAGACGTACATGCCCTCCATTCTCATCACCATCCTGTCCTGGGTGTCGTTCTGGATAAATTATGATGCTTCGGCTGCCAGAGTTGCATTAGGTACGATATTTTCTATGCAGTCAATTCAAACAAGTCACTAGTTGCAGAAAAATGAGRCAGTTGATGAAAGATTAAAACAATAGTGATGATATAAAGTGTGTTACTCTGTGTTAATTAATAAAAAATTACAGGGAAACAGAAAGTACCCACTTAATTTTGTGCTGCCAGTGAATAAAATCATCAGAATAAAGTTTAACACTGGTGTGTGAACTACAACTGTGCACTGAAGAGAAAGGTCACAAAGTTGGAAGGAAAGACAAATAAATAATCAGCATATTCAGTGTGTTTAACTTGTTTATTATTGTGCTAAATATACGGAAAGATGCTCATTTGTTGTTGACTAGAAAGTCATTTTTTGTCTTTACCTCTTTATTGTTTTTTTAGTAAAATATCTCAAAATGGATGAATTTTTATGAAAATAGAGAAAAGTAATAAAATCTAGTCTACTATTCAGGATGTCTGCCACAGAAATAGAAACAGCTAAAAGCTAAATTAGCTGAATACAGCAGAAAAGATCTGTAATACATACCTTTTGCAGGAAAAAAACATAAAAAGTAGAAAAAATCAGAAGAATAGCAGAAACAAGCAGATCTAAACCTGAAAAAGAATTAAAAAGCTAAAATTAGCAAAAAAACAAGCTAAAGGTAGCAGTCACAAGTTGTAATTAACACCCAGATGGTGAATGTCCTATAAAAGTTTAAAAATTGCAGAAAAAAGGCGTAAATGTACTAAAAATTGACAATTTTTTTGTGAATAACTAAAAGAGCAGAAATTGTCAGTAAAACAACGAAACTATAACTGGGTTTTTTTAATTAGCATAAAAGAAGCATAAGGAGTACAAGTTTGCTAAACTTAGCAAAATAAATTGTAATAGCTACAAAAATGTGTATTTAGCTTAAAACAGCTGAACTTTAGCTAAAATTGCTGAAAATAGCTGAAAATAGCAAAAATCATATGTAAGAAGCATAAATAGCACAAAGTAGCAGATAAAAGTACAAAAACAGAAAAAAGCAGAAGAATGGCAGAAAGAAGAATTATAGCTGAAAAAGCAGAAAAAAGCTCAAATTTGCACAAAAAACTTGTTAAAATTAGCACAAGAAAGTGAAAAAGAGCATAAGCAGAACAAAATGTGTAAGATGCTGTAAAGATTTAGAAACATTTTACAGGATTTTTATGATGTTGAAAACTGCTCCATTCATTTTCAACAGCAAAAAAGTGGCTAAAAAAGTGAAATAGCTGAAATACCAAAAGTTATAGCAGACTTGACATAAATGAGATGAATGTTTTGATATGAATTCTTGAAATAGCACAAAAATTGTGGAACGAGTTTAGACAGTCTAGTAGGAAGGAGGGGGTCCCATGCACCCGAAAGATATATATTTTAACCTAACTTTTTGTWCTCCTTAGGATGTTTAGTAAATGGATTGTGTTGGCCCCAGAACAAATTATTGTCCATGTATGTTTTTATTGRCCATCTTTAATGGCCGACCTGGATTTACSRTTGTGAATAATGAAAACTTTAAATCAACGTAGCTCCTAAACTCTACATCCGACAGACACCATTCACCCCATTTTATTTTTGTCTTTTCATGGGTAATTTGTTGAAAAAAAAAAGATTCCTATGATTATATCATGTTTGATGCATAATAACTGGAGTAAACACAAAAAAAATGCTAAAATTAGCCTAAACTGAATCGCAGGAACTACTCCCCTGTACACCCTATTGATATTTTTTTCAAAGCTTTGTATATTTATAATCTTCAACATACATAGTAAACACAAGTTGATGATATCCACTTGAAATTTTGTCACATGTACTATGACAAATACAATTGTGCCTCTGCACAATGCCTAGTTAAGTCAACATGTTGATTTTTACATTCTCTTTTTTACATTTGTGGAAATCCAGGTCGGCAAACAAAATGGCACAATAAATATACATGTGACAAAATTTAGGGGCTATGTTGATTTAAAGTTTTCATTTTTCACAATGGAAAATCCAGGTYGGCCATTAAAGATGGTCAATAAAAACAAATATGGGACAATAATTTGCTCTGGGGCCAACACAATCCATTTACTGGACACTTTAAGGAGTACAAAAAGTTARSTTAAAAAATATATYTTTCGGGTGCATGGGACCCCCTCCTTCCTACTAGACTAAGATGCCAAAAAAYGTACGGAAGACATTACTGTCTCAATAGTGTGAATGTTGTGAAGCTTTCGCACTATTAACATTTTCTGAATGCTCACAGTTTTGAGCTCACTGGTTTCATTTGAGTTTCAGTTGACCATCTGAAAACACAACACTCCTAATGCAATTATCTCCACTTGAATCTTTGCTTTAATGGGAATCCTCATTCAGACTCAGTGCACTCTAAGTGCTCTGTGTGTGAGAAGGAGCACATTATAGCAGCAGTCATTAAATCTCAGCTGTTACATCGTCATGAGAGGAGTGTAATAAATTTTGGGTGTGCTTGTGGGCGGCCGGGTTCGAATGAGCATCCTTGGATCCGTAAAGCATATTGAAACCCACTCCTGCGGTTTCTCTTCTTTAGCCCCACATCRTTGAGAAGACCGCTGTCTGAGACAAGAGACCAATGCAAGGTGGAAAGCATTTACACTGACATGTCTGTCCAAACTCAATCACTGCTGAAGTGTGGGAATATCCTGAGGAAAAATCARCTCACAGGTTTCAGATGGGAACTGAGGAAATCAGCACTGAGGAATGACTAMATGTGCACTTGGAATGACTGTCAGCTAATTAACACATCAAACTTTGGCAAAATATGTGTAAAATTTACACAGGTTTTCCTTTTTCTTGTATTGTCTTATGTTAGTCTGCTGTGGCGGCCATCTTTAAGCAAAGATGTTGGGAAAAGTGTTTTGTGTTGGTAATATCCCACCAAATTTTAGCTCAATGTCTGTTAAAAATGACAGCCGTAACTCTGTTTCTGTTTTCCAAGGTCACTTGGCTGTGGTGGTCTTCTTSAATTCGGTTGAGTCCAAAAGTTAATCAGCTGTAGACATACTTGTAATCGTTGCTTTCATGATGTTTTGTGTACTCCGTGGATTTTAAGGGGCTGCAGCCCACTGAGCCCACATGTTGGCCGCTTATGTCACTGCCCAGCATCAAGTTCTGTCCTAATTYATAGGCTGCTTCTCATGCAGCTGAAAAATGAAGGCTGCATCTGTGTATCCTTCCTGGCCGAGGGCATCCCATGATTCATTGCATCGTCAGCAAACTAACAGAAAATCAAAGACAGCAGAGGTTTTATTTCTTTTTTTTTTTTTAACCGTTATTGAAGTTTGGAAATTCATCACGGACTGAAGAATTTATTTTAAAGTTTTGTCTAGCAGATGATAATTTTCCTGGAATGAGATGTTACATAAAATGCAACTAAATGTACTGATACTGGAGCTAAACCCAGATTATTATTATTGTTTTTTATTTATTTACCTGTAACATTTTTAACTGAGGTTACTCTTCCAGTGAAATGACATGTGAATACATGCCCAATACATTTTAAGTCTGAAGGCACTTGTATGATGGTAACAAAATAATGCATGGTCACACAAACATACGTCATCTGAAGGCTAGACCATTTCATTTCATAGCTGTTTCTTGCAGCCGACACGGCCTGCGAAGGTTGCAGCCTCCGTTGGCCGTGGTCTTTTAGGCTGCAGCCCCTCAACTGAGACACAGCTGGAGCCAATTTTGTGTTTTTAAGGCTGCTTGGTTGTAGCAGACATCTTGAACTGAGTTGACCCCAAAAGTTACATCCAATGAYAATGMGTATRTGTTGTGAATGACTCTCAGCTACTAACACCAAATTTAAGCTAATATYTGTAAAATTTGCTGAGTTATATCCATTTTTGTGTCCCAACGTCAKTTTGCTGTGGTGACCATCTTGAATTGGTTTGACATTGAAATATAATCAGTTGTTAATCCAATAATCACGTTTTGAGAGTTTAATCAACGTCTATCTAGTGGTGGTTCATGAGATATTTTGCTAACAGACTGACACGCAGAGAGACGAGCAAACACACTGCCTTCCTTCACCTGTCAGTAATGGCAATGTGATTTTTCAAGCAACCATTTTACAGTAGCTCTAAAAGTTAAGAATCTTTTTTGGTTATTTTAAAATCAATGCATGGTTCTGCTCTTGACTCCCCCTCACACACTGTACACTGGAACATTTTTGTCCTCATTATGTAAGCCTGAGCATGTCCGTGTCTGTAAACCACCCAGGAGAAAAAGAGAAACACAAACATTGTTGATGTTGTACACAAAAAAACAACACTGTACAAGTTAAACGCAAACAATTTTAATGCATTGAAGTTCCAAACAAGCATAACAAAAAATGATTAGTTACGATTATAGAAACAGTAAAAAGCMAACATCCAGTCTGAGTTAAATCCAAAAAAGAAACAAAGTGTTTTAAGAAAGGATTTAAAAACAGGAAGTGAGTCAGCCTGTCTAAAAGGTGTGCAGAAGCATTTTGAACCAGCTGAAGTCAAGTTAGTTAATGACTGGTTCAGCCTGACATCAAGTGCATTTCTGTGATCTCACTAAGTCCAGACTGAGGCCCTGTCCCAACACCCGCACTCCCACCCTCGTTCCACCCTTGTGCACTTCAAATGCACGTTCATGTTGAAGGGTTTGAGTGCGTAGTGTGTCCCACATTCTCCACATCCACCCTTCGCCACGCCCATTTTGGGTACTATTTCCGCCATTCCGTGAAGTCTGCATATTTGTGGACTTCGGCGAAGTGTATTACCCACAATTCATTGCTGCATGTGACGTCTGGAATTAAAATGCAGACCGCAGAAGAAGAAAATCAATAGTCATGGAAGGATGGATCATGGAAAATAAATTTGGGCCATTATTCATTTGATAAAAATAAAGGGGATTTATTAAAACATGAGGAATTTATTATTAAATATGAAATAGTTTGTACCGCTGAGGATTACAGAAATGTGG